GGTAATACCGATATCTACCGGTTGGCGGCTGCTTGACGAAACGCTTCCTTGGCACCACAAGTCTGCACGGCGAGGCGCATCTTTTAACAACAACAATAAGTCCGTTCCGATGTAGAGTTATTAAAAAGCTTGGTGTGCGGACAGTCCCTTAAAACCCAACGCCATAGTAAACTTCCCAGTGTTTTTAAGGAACTGACGCGTTACTTGTGCAATACAGTGCATATCATACCGACATGGCACGTTCTCACAAATGTTTTGGGATGCGGCAAAGAAGGAACAGGGCATTCAGACTATCGAATAAACATTATTCAATCAGATTTGGCCCTTTTGGATCCAGATTTTCCGTTTGATGTCGTCTGTGATACCCTGTTTGTCATGTGCTGTGTTTCACTTATAACAAGCGTTGATGGGCGCGAAAACCCGGAGCCATGTCTGAGTCTCGCCAGCATAAAGTGAAAGAGACCATCGTTCAATTTCATGACACTGAGGACTTGCAACGAAATATGCATTTGTGAACTTCAAATATCACCTGCTTGGCTCGAATCAAGTCATATAGATTATGAATTACTGCATCACAGCGCCGTCGCCACCACTCCTTTTACAAGTTGTTAGCAAGATAAACATTATCTGTGCTGAGTCTACCATTGAGGTAAGGTGCAACCTAGGTGGATCTACCGCGTTGAGGGATGCACTTTCTTGTCGTCCGGATATGAGTTTACAAAAGTCACGATGGCGATGTCGCCAAAAAATTAAAGATATTTTAGATATAAATTATTGGTGAGGTGCACAGCGCACGGGTGTGAAAAAGCAGTAGCTGAGAAGCTTAAGTTGGGGAGTGAGTAATTTACAAGCGTATATGAAGCTTTATCGAAGCGCTACGTGGACATCTACATCACTGTTTCCTTGTCGCGAGGCATGTCGTATTACAGGAGCAATGGTGGTTGTTTCTTATAAATGAAATGGAAGTCCAGGATGCTAAGTATGGCACACGATACCCCCTGGGAGGTTGCCTCGATAGAAAATGGACACCTGAATCGGTAAGTGCTAATAAATTGTGGATTAACATAAAATTGGCAAAGCGCGCATAAGTACGTACAAACTAATCGTGTGGACAGATTAAACTCTCGCCACATAAATCAATGTATTTTGGCAGAGGGTTATTAGTTGTTTTCAAAAAAATGTCGATCCTCCAAACGTCGCGTCCGATAATATTGGTACTGCCATGTCTCAAGAATATGATTATGTTGGAGATGCGAGTACAGAGCCAAGACGCTATCTCACGAAAGATTTTTGCAACATGGCTTGCCGACGACCAGTGTCTTAGTTCGACATCCGCGTCGAAGCGAAACTCCCGTAAACTCGTATTAGGTGCTTGGCGCTAGATTGATCAGGTCTTCCGTGAAACATCCTCAGGTAAAGGTATGGATATTGCGCGTTAGACAGAGCGTGCACCCCGCGTGTTGGAGGCTATCCTTAACTTGCTCGGGGCGGCCGCGGTGCTAGTACGACATGCCCCCACCCATTCGTTTTGCTTAAAAACACGGCTCACGCATCTACAGGATTTATGCTTTTTTATGTAAGTGTATTGTTTAATCCTCCTGTCCTCTTCCCACTTCCACAGTGTGACTCCGTTGTAGTTTGGTTAGTGTTACCTATACGTTATAATTTGCGGAATCGTTTCGAGCGCCATGCGCCGAGTGCGCGACGCTGTAGATAAAAATTCTTTGACGCGCAAATAAAACATCCGAATGATGATAAAGAATTTTGTGGAAAATCAATGAGGCGCTGTTAACCCACCTGCACATAAAAATTCAACATCTTTGAACACAAGGCCGTTTACGGTTGCGGCTTAAATGTAATCAAATTTTACCCTTTGTATCCCAAAGAGAACACGTACACGTACTGTGTTCTATGCACGCCTAATTAAGTGAACCACAACCCCACTTTAATAAGCCATACAATTGCTGAAAGCTCTGTTGAAGCTGACGCAACGCTTCCGAAATTGATCTCTTTTTCTGCTCTATACCGGCCGTCCTCAAGGTAGTCTAAGCCGATTACTGTGTTTGCAAGGTCAATTAGCGGATCTGAACAACAATTCACGCTCACGACGGTGGGCAATAATTAGTAATTGACTTCATAATCAGGGTGTGATTAGCCCCGAGCGAATATATCAAAAGTCGCTGTGACACTAGCGCTTGTAGACAGGCACAATCGAATTGCTGATCCAGCGCCGGCGTATTCATGACGAGCTGGACCTTGCTGTTAATTCCGCGGTAGGGTACCACGAGAAGGAATAGGTACGGAGTACGTAACTCATGCAGAAGTAAATTGAGTATAAAATTTGCTTTTCGGCGGTCCCCGCAAACGGAAAATGCTTGGTACTTTGGTTACGATCGAGACTCGGAGATTCCATGTGACCGTTCTCATCGGAAGATATCTCGGCTGCCTCACTAAATTGGTTGGCAAATCATTGGTTGCGGGGTCGGTCCTTTTTTGGATAGAGCTGCTAAGTAGAAGATCCCCATGTAGTCTATTTCGTAAGAGTTGGCAGTATTTTGCGCAGTACAGAAGGCATACTACCCGTCTCGTAGAGCTTTTCTATGCGCGCGTTTCTCTAACAAGACAAATGAGTGCGGTTCCGGTTAGCCTCTAATTTTGGAGTATGAAGAGATACGTATGCAATATTTGTGCACACTCACATAACAAGTTTGGCCTCAAAATTACAGCATAGCTTGAAAGTTCGTAGGTGAAGAACTATGATGACGTATGATGAGTAGTCCCCGTTATGAATGAGTGCGATTGGTCTTCCTGGATAAAAGCTAAATCAATCACGTAGACCGCCAGCGTCAAACAATATATTTTAAAGGTTTTGATAGATATGTACAACAGGGTTGCCCTGCACCTTGCACAGGGAAGGTCCAATTTACTAATACAATAGTTGGATTCGAACACTCCGTCCTTGCTCCCCTGAGTGCGTGCTCCTTGCTTCAATTTTGCATCGTATAATTACTCGCACAATATCACATGGGTGAGCGATCCTCCAACAAAAGCATGGTACTTACATACGCTGTGATGATCCATAAAAAAGAAAGTGGCAGGGACTTTGCGTGTCCTGACTTGACAGCCACGCCTTA